CACTTGTACACAGATTTTTTTCAATAGTTAATACTACAGTACTACACTGTCTGCAGGTGGTTGAATCTGAGGTGGAACTGCAGATATGGAGGGCCAACTATAAGTTACAGATTTTCAACTGTGTGGAGGTTTTGGTGCCCACATTGTTCAAGGGTCAACTGTTAATAGGTATTCTTTCTAGAACTCACTCAATCTGAATTAAAAATAAAGTAGGTAAAAATATTAAATATTACAATTAAATATTAAAATATCAAAAATAAAATAGGTAAAAAAATTCCATGAGAGCCCTGGCAGAGACCACCAACCAAAAGAAAGTTGCTTAACATGTTTTGGAATGGCATGTGGCCCTTGGCATGGTTATCAAATTCTTGCTGGAGAAGAATAACAACAAAAAATAAGTGTGCGTGTCAGAAAATAGAAAATTAGGTTGAACAAGTAAAATGGAGTCCATTTTGGTCCTTTATGTGCATTCCTCTCCTAGAACCACTACAGTATTTCTGGTCTACCAAAGTAGTTAACTGGGCACCAAGTTTCGTGGGCTATCTATCTAGTTTTCCTTATTATATGTGATCCTCCTCAAGAACAGCCAGCGAACATGTCTCATATTTCTTTTTTTTTGAATTTTATTTTAGTTTTTTAATACAGCAGGTTATTATTAGCTATCTATTTTATACATATTAGTGTCTATATGTCAATCCCAATCTCCCAGTTCATCCCACCACCACCACCTCCCCCACTTTATGTCTCAGATTTCTTTTGTATCATCTCAAGTGCTTAGGACAGCAGATACTCTGACCCCACTTATTCATGAACTGGCACTTGTGTTGCAAAAATGAAAAAGGAGTGAAACACTACTTTAACCAGCTGGCCTACTTAGCCTAAACAAAGCAACCAGAATTATGTTCAACACAAAGGATGGGAAGGTCCCTGATGTCGAAGACACTGAAAAATACCACCTTCACATACAGACTGAATAACAAATGTAAGTAGACCTAGAGTAGAAAAAGATACCTTGGGGAGGAAGAAAGAGGGCTGGTGGGTGTGGTGAACAGTCAAGAATCAAAGACTTTTGAGGAGATTTTAGGGAGGAATATTATTATGTGTCTTTATGGCTTTTAAGGAGATTTAAAGGCATAGCAAATGAAATGAGATCTAAGTGATTCCTTTGTAAAATAGAAATTTTTAGGAAATCGGCAAAAAACAAGGAAGAGTATTTGTTACTCTGATATAGCATGTCACTTGACGGTTTTCATTTCATACATTTAAATAAAATGTCAATGCTTTCTGATTAATATATCAATATATTATCATTTAAGTTTTAGTACTATTTGGCATAATATGGACTACCTCAACCACAACCAGCATCTAAAATAATTAGCTGCCTGGGGCCTAGAGTCCTGGGCGGCCGCTGAGAGGGCCTTCCTGGCCTGTTGGCGCCTGCGGGATGCTGCAGGCTTCTCCTGGGCGCCCAGTCCTGGTTGGCTGCGTGTAGTGGCCTGCAGGGCTCTGAGTGGGCAGGGCCCTACACCAGTGATAGCCTTAAAGGGAGGAGAACTCGTCAGGGACAACACTGTGCGGGTTAATTTGGGAAGTGATGGTTAAAGTTTCTGGCTTTAGACTCCTTATTTATGTTGTTAATTCTGATGGGGGTAGAGATGGAAGCTGGTCCCGTTAGCAATGAGTTCTCAGTCTGGAGAGGAAAACAAATCAAGGTGAACTGAAGAAAATGAGTCTTTCCCCAGAGGAGATAGAAGATGGGGAAGATGAGGGCTTCCCTGGTGGCGCAGTGAGAGATGAGGCTGTCGTCCCTAAGAATGGTAGGAAGGTTGCTACTGCTCCCGGAAATAAAATCGAAAAAAAAAGTTTCTGCCTCCCACGTTTGCTGAGAAATTAATATCACCACACAGGAAGGGAGCCACAGGGGCCAATGTGCCAAAAGACAGGAGGAGTGCCAAGCTCAAGGACCATGAGAAGAGACATGAGAACTCTGAGGAGGATAAACAGACTACGAAGAAAGCACCTGACAAACAGAAGAAGGAAATGACCAAACAGAAGGCTTCCACTGAAACCAAAAAACAGAAATTAGAAGGAGATTTGGTTAGTGAATTTTAAAATCTGCTGATGACCAGGAAAAAGCCCTGGAACTCAGTGAAACAAAGGTCCTTGGATATGAAATTAAATTGAAGAGACCAAAGGGAAAGGAAACAAAGAAAGGTCGAAATGCCAAAACACTTTTGATAAAGAACCTGCCTGACAAAGTCACTCAGCATGAATTAATAGAAGTGTTTTAGGATGCTTTTCAAATCAGATTGGTGAGCAAGGATAGGATGAGTGAAAGGATCGCCTATATTGACTTCAAGTCACAGGCCGATGCACAGCGAGCCTTGGAAGAGAAGCAAGGAACAGAGATTGGTGGGCTTGCTGTAGTTCTGGACCTTGTCGGAGAAAAAAGCCAAGGCCAAGATGAAAGAGATGGAAAAAAGAGCACTTGGAGAATGGGAAAACGAAAGAACAAGAAAGCCATGCATTTCAAGAAAAATGTGAGAGAGCGTATTTCTTTGTGGAGGTAAAGAATGTTCCTACATGTTTAATATGCAAACAAAGTCTGTCTGTGTTGAGAGAATGTAACCTAAAACACCATTATGAAAGCAACCATCATAGGAACCACGATGGATTTACAGAAAAGATGTGTGATAGAAAATTCAACAAACTGAAAAAAAGACTGAAATTTCAACATGATTTGCTTTTGAACGTGAATAAAATAAGTGATGCTGCCATGGAATGTAGTTATGTATTAAGTGAGAAAATTGCCTGGTCAGCAAAACCTCTTGCAGATGGTGAGTTTATCAAAGACTGTCTGTTGAGCGCAGCAGAAATCATGTGCCCTAAACAGACATGCATTTGCCAACATAAGACTAACTGGTAATGTTGTTGCCCAGCATGTTAACAATACGACTGAGAACTTGCAGGACAAGTTCCAAGAAAAAGCTGAATCATTTGTGGCTTTTTTCCATTGTAGCTCAGGAAGGTGTGGATGGAAATAACGCCCCCCACGTAGCTGTATTTATTCATGGTGTCAATGAAACTTTTGATGTGACCGAAGAACTTCTGGACGTGGTTCCCGTAACAGGCACAACATCAGGAAATAGTTTTACGTGATGAGAAAAGTCTTAAAAAATTTAACGTGGACTGGTCAAAGCTGGTAAGTATTAGCACAGATGGTGACTCTGTGATGGTTAGTGTTAAAGAACTAGTTACAAAACTGAAATCTAAAGTGTCAGGGCTTTGCCAAGACAAGGAACTTAAGTCTCTGCATGGTCTCATTCTCCAGGAGACACTTTGTGCTAAAAGATTAAAAATGGATCACGTCATGGACATAGTTTATACCATAACCTGGATATACTCCCACGGCTCAGACCACAGAAATCGGTGCTGTGTTTAATCAGTTAGACGCACAATATGGAAACATGTTCTGCTCTATGGAACTTAAGTGGCTGAATTGTGGTGTGGTCCTAAGGCAGCTTTTTGAACAGTTGGAGGAAATTGACTTTTTCATGTCTTCTAGAGGAAAATCTGTGCCTCAGCTTACGAGCAAAGATTGGGTCAGAGACTTAACCTTTTTGGTTGACATTATTATAACATATCTAAACATGTTGGATATTTCTCTGCAAAGGCGTTCACAAGTGGTGACACAAATGTATGATTCAGTTGGCTCATTCCTGTGAAAATGTGTCTTTGGGAGACTCATTTGGGAAGGAACAATCTGGCCCACTTTCCTATGATGAAATTAGTTTTTGAAAATGAAAATGACAGCCTGAACTACATTCCCCAAATTAAAGAGTTGAAGACTCAATTCCAAAAAAGGTTCTCTGACTTTTCCAACTTTATGAGAATGAACTAATATTGTTCAGTTCCTCTTTCTCAATTAGTATTAATAATGTGAATAAAGAGCTACAAACAGAAGTTACTGAACTGCAGGTCAACACTATACTGAAAGCCAAATATGATGATGTTGGAATCCCAAAATTCTACAGATATCTTGGGAGGTTACCCTAAATATAAAAACCATTATGCAAAGATTCTGTCCATGTTTGGAAGTACTTATGTTTGTGAGCAGCTATTTTCTGCTATGAAACTAAAGAAAACTAAGTGTTGCTCAAAGTTAAAGGATTCAAAGATGAATTCTCTGCTGCATGTTGCAACACAAGATTCACAACCTCATGCTGATTGATATCTTGGGGCATAGGAAAGGAATGCCAGATTTTGAATTTCAAATCTGAGGAGTAATACATTATGGAACTTTGAATAATTATTTATATTTCCAAATTATATTTTTTCAATGCCAAATTTAAAATATAATCTCTGGCATCATATGTTTGTACCTTATAACATATAAAATAAAATTTGACTATATTCTGGCAAAAAAAAATAACTAAACACATTTTTCCATTTCAGATCATACAAAAAGATCAAAGGCAGAAGACAAACAGAACATAAAATTTCAATGAGAAAAAAGAAGAGAAAAGCAAGAGGACTCAAGTTTGGCTCCTTGCACATGTGGAATATCTGCAGATAAAAGTGGGTAATCCCTAAGAATCTGCTGAGAATATTTGGTGTGGGGGGAGGGTGTTACCTAATCCTTGTTAGAAATAACATAGATCTGTGTGAAGAAGTGTAAGGAAGTTTTAAGAAATGCCAAAGATGTACGTATTACTGTATGTATATATGGTAGGAACACATAAAAATGTATGTATTACTACCATACATTTGGAGTGATAATAGGGAATGTATGCGGAACAACAAGAGAAGCCCCCTGGCTTTGGAGAGCTGCTGAAGTCCAACCAGAGGCAACTGTGGCAGTTTTGGGGAAAGTGGTATGGCAGAAAGAATAATCCATTTCAAAGCCTAAGCTGATGTAGTTTTTAAGCACTGTGACATATTAAGCCATGACTGTTTCATGTTACTTTCAATGGAATAGTATGACAGTATAATAACTTTACCTTTGGATTCTTGCCCTCTTTGGCCAATAATGCCCGAAGTCTTTCTTGTGAAGGGGGTGCAATGAAGATAATATATGGTTTCAAGTCTGAGTTCCGGAGAGTCTTCAATGACTGTAAAGAAAAGATAGATCTTAACCATTCAATATAAGAATATATTGTGTACCTATAACACACATAGAATATTGGCTTACTCTTTATATGTAATGAAATAAAATTAATGAAGAATTACAACTATGTGATGATAAAATACCCTGCCAATTAGATCACACACAGATTAAAATAACCATATTAAAAATCCATTTTCAAGGAATTACAAATGAGCAGTCACCTTACCATGTGCCAGGGTCTAAATGCAAAAAGAATCAAAGAAAAACTTCACATACACATACAAAAGAAAATTCTGGAAAAGCACATCCAAGAAGAAAAAGCATACTGTCTGAATTAAGAGACTGTGGTTTTCACCTTGCCTTTGCATGAATGTGTGTCCCTAAATTGAAGCACTCTACAAAAATGGGGATTATAGGGACATGTCCTTTTCTATCTTAAAAACAGCAATTAAGACAATATGCTTAACTACTCTAAGTTCTCTGGTAAATCTGTTAGCCAAAATAATATAAAGAATTCTGAAGGAATTTAGTAAAAACATCAATCCTTCTCTTAAGTCTGATATTTATAATTCAAACAGCAGAGACTAATAAGCTCTTTTGTTCACTAAAAAATAAAGAAAACCTAATTACTATTTCAGGAAAGCCATTTTGGAATCAATTCTCTTCTTTTTTTTAATAAATTTATTTATCTTTGGCTGTGTTGGGTCTTTGTTGCTGTGCGCAGGCTTTCTCTAGTTGTGGTGAGCGGGGGGCACTACTCTTCGTTGTGGCGCGCAGGCTTCTCATTGCGGTGGCTTTTCTTGTGGAGCACGGGCTCTAGGCACATGGGCTTCAGTAGTTGTGGCACACGGGCTCAGCAGTTGTGGTTCATAGGCTCTAGAGTGCAGGCTCGGTAGTTGTGGTGCACGGGCTTAGTTGCTCCGCGGCATGTGGCATCTTCCCAAATCAGGGCTTGAACCTGTGTCCCCTGCACTGGCAGGCAGATTCTTAACCCCTGCACCACCAGGAAAGACCCTCAATTCTCTTTCATATACATCTCTTTAATGACCACTGCCTATGTCTCGTGAGTTGACGTACACAGTAGGTTCCACCACATTAAGGAAAGTTTTATGCTAAAGCTGTACAATGTAGAAAAAGAAAAAAAATTCACAACAAACACAATCTTAAAAATCCCAAATTTCTAAAATTAGTTTATTTTTAATGGAAATCTAAAAAGGAACTGTTAGTAATTTTTGAAGGTTTTCTTTTGTATGACAGATAACAGAACAGTGGACATTTCGTTAGATACAACCCAGCACTCATTATGATACTTACTAATACTTGAACTACATCATTTAAAACCATAAAAATGACCTCTAATTATTCTAATTTTTCTCATATAAGAATCAGGAAAGGGAAATTCTTTTATAACCTTTAAAATACTAAAGTACTATACCAGCACTGCAGTTACTGTATATTAAGTTTCAGAAAACATGTACATGTATATATATGTATTTTCCCCTCAGAGGAAACTGAAAGAGATTTAGCAACCTAAATTCGTAGGGAATCAGTATGAAAAAACTGTATGAGAACTTAATTAGGTCCTGTGGTTCTTGGACCAAAATACAGTTTCCACTAAAAATCACCCTGTGAAAAATGTCCTCAAGTTCAACACCCTAAAAACCAAAATAGTTTTACCTGTGTACGAAGACTTAAAAGACATATTTTGCCCGAGTTGATCACTTGCCGTACAGAATCTATGCTGGTTCCATACAAATTTTTCTCAAATTCACCATGCTCAATGAACTTTCCAGCTGCTACATCTGCCTCAAATGCCTGCCGTGAAACAAAGTGGTAATCTCTACCGGCTACTTCATGGTCTCGCCGACTCCGAGTTGTATCTAGGCAAACAAAATCAGGTAAAAATAATGGACGTGGATCAGAGTAAGGATGAGGGATAATTCTGCTAGTCAGAAAAAATGTTTATTTTGTAATACAAATTAAAAAATAATGAATTAAGGAAATGTTAGACCCCCATGTGTTTAACATTGACTGGTTTTATTTCTAGATTGAGAAATGAACAAAACTGTGTTTTTAGTATCTTAATAACCGTTACCTTTAATATGTTTTATGCTTACACTCCAAATTACTTCATGTTGCATTTCATTAAAATACTATCATTCTGGGGACTTCCCTGGTGGCACAGTGGTTAAGAATCTGCTTGCCAATGCAGGGGACATGGATTTGAGCCCTGGTCTGGGAAGATCCCACATGCCATGGAGCAACTAAACCCATGCGCCACAACCTATTGAGCCTGCACTCTAGAGCCCGCAAGCCACAACTACTGAGCCTGCGTGCCACAACTACTGAAGCCCACGTGCCTAGAGCCCTTGCTCTGCAACAAGAGAAGCCACCGCAATGAGAAGCCCATGCACTGCAACAAAGAGTAGCCCCTACTTGCTGCAACTAGAGAAAGCCCACGCGCAGCAACGAAGACCCAACGCAGCCAAAGATAAATATAAATAAATAAATATTAAAAGTAAAATAAAATACTATCACTCAGTTTTTCCATAAGATTAGGTACTATACAATCTTTAAACAGAACTTCTGTATTCAGAAATTAGGTCTAAATTAGGTCTAAATTTCTACCTTCTGCATCAGTTAAAAAAACCAGGAGGTGATTCCATACTGAGCAGGGCATTGTAAGAGGCCCAAATTGAAATTCATTTAGAAAGTAATTAGTACCATACTCTTAGAGAAAATGTATATTTATCAAGAGTGACTATCTTTAATAGCAAATTCTCAAAAGATTTGGTTAAAACAAAGTTCCTCTTTCTTGGACAACACTCTTTTGATGAAATGGGTGAAAAACTTCCCTACACGGAAAATGGGAATGCATCCAAACTTACGAGGAACTGCAGATGCAAAGCGGTCTTTCTCTTTGTTCATGAGCCTCTGACGCAATTCATTCTGGCCACAGTTCTGTGGACCAATCAAAATGATAGGTCTTTTCCTATTTGCTGGCTGATGATAAAGTGACATTTCCTCATAAGTTAAGATCTCTTCATTGTCATAATCTTTGAAAAAGAAAAAGTTAAGCCCTTCAGACAGAATTATTGCCATGTAATAAATATATACTCATAGATCTTTCAAAAAATTGAAAAAAAGCACAAGTTATTATCATTAAAAATGCTTAACTTTTGGGATCAAGATAGTAATAACCAGGTAGCATTATATCATGAGTATTTTCCCATGTCATTATGTCCTTGCCAGGATTATGAAAATAAATCAAATAATGTATTAATCCTTCTGGAAATGTTTATTGCTTCTCGTTTCATACTGTGTTCGAATGTTTAATACAATATAACTATACTGATTCATATAAAATAGCTAGTTTGCAGCCAATACTTTGACAGAGGGTGAGGCACCAAGGGATAAACTAATGAGAATAATATCTGTCATTTTTGTAAAATGGGGATACTAATACTTTAATTAGACGGTTGGTTTAAGGAGAAGACAATGTATATGCTGAAAACAATACCTGCCATAGACAAACATTTACAAATAGTGCTGCAACTAGTGTTATCAGAGAAAGCTGGAATACTTTTCTGTGATCATATAACTTGAAAACACAGCATACTTATGCTATCCAACTTTCTACCCTTATGTTTACTTTATTCTGGAATACTAATACTAACCTGAGATCATGATTCAAGAAGAGGTATAAATTATAACAGGTGGGGTAACATTCCTAAAGCCCATAATCCAGATGAAATCAGAGCTGTCAAGTGGTAAGAACAAAGGCAGACAACTAGTGACCTGCGATCTTCTCAAACATATCACTTCACCTAACTGGGTAAGAGCATCAGATGTGTAGTCAGACCGTCAGCTCTAAGTTCCATGGGGGTAGGGGACCATCTTAATCTTGTCAGTGCTTAGCACAGAGCACAGAGCAGGAACTCAGACTCTAGTTGTTTAAACTCCAACTCAACCATGTATTAGCTGTAAGAACTTAGGCAGGGCACTTTCATATCTGAACTTGAATTCATTCATCTGTAATCTCAAGGAATTTATTTTGAGAACTAAATGGATGAAGGTTACTGCCCCTGGAACAGAAGTTATTATAAATGGCAGTTATTAATAAAAATGTTAATTAGGATAACAGCACTATGAACAGAAATGTAATTCCTTCCCTTCTCAAAACGCTTTTTCCTCTGAAAAATCTAAGTTCCTTCTTCTAACATGTACAGACTGTGGAAGCATTCTGACTCAGACACGTAGATATATTATAATATAACAGCTATTAGAGCTGAACCAGTTAATTTTAGTGTATTTCAAAAGATAAAAAAACAAATATTAATCACTTGCCCAAGTACAGAGGAAAAGATTAAAATTCCAATAAATCTTCTTAGCTACATAATCTATCAATTAGCATTAAGGATGTTTATTTGGGGAAAAAAAATTTATTATAGTAGATGGCATCTCAGGTTTAGTTTTGTATCAAATTTTCCAATAATCTATAACATTTATTTTCACTAGTTTAATTTATGCCACTTAAGAAATTTTCAGGGTATTGAGAGAATAAAAATAAGCCTTATAAATTGTGTAAGAAGTTAAAGACTTCCTTTGCTTTATTATTTGGCTTGTTTCTAATGTGAATTAAAGAAGGGGTAGCAAATTCTAAAGCCCATAAGGACCAACCAAGAAGGTAACGAAAGCACTAAATCAGGCTGGGTTTATAAAAAATTGGATGTGGCAGAGACTGCTGAACTAAGTAGGTGCTCAGTATAAAGGCAAAAGCCATCATTCAGGTCCAGAAGACCAGTGTCATGTGGGAATATGAGCCCAGTGTTATTAGAGCTTTTGATTTTACCAGTGTTATTAGAGCTTTTGATTTTAAGAGAAGCTACAACTTAAAAATTTTTTAATCTTAACAATAAATTAAAATAGAACAAAAAACGCTCCTGTGTGCCTGACTCAGTCAGCAGGCTCTATGCAATGGCCTGCCTTGGTGACATGAGTTACTGTAGACAAAATGTTCATTCTTTACTTAAAATACAGCTATATTGTTAGAATTTGTTAGAAACATGTATTAATTTTGCAAATAAAGAGTTTAAGTAGGAAAAAATTTATGAGGAAACTATCAATATAACACTGTACATGCTAAATTGTACTATAATTTTTATACCAGTTTTTCTCAGAATTTAAAACTGTGCATTCCCCATAGGATTCCAAAAGAAAATAATTTCTGCTAAATGGCTTTATTAAGCACACATGTTACATTAAGAGGCCAGGACCAGAAATAAAATTCCCTGAAAATATCAATTTAATTTCTTTCAAGTGTTAGATATGGACCTCTTTCAGATATAAATACAACTATATCTGAGAGTGGAACTTACCATCATTTTTATTGGCATTATATAAAACCTTTTTCCTCTTCTTTTTATTCTTCTTTGCACACCATAGTTTTCCTGTTGAGAATAAAAAACATAAGTATAAATGTGGTATTTGTTTCCTTGAATAAAGCTACATATTTCAAATAGAAGAACTCAAATAGTTTTAAATTTAAATTTATAGACACATGTTACATTGTTCATAGAAGAACATTTTTCAGAGAAGTAGTTATAATTTTCCATTAATCTCACATCACAGATAGATAATCTTTAATACTTAAATCCTCTCCTTCCTTTACAGTCCTAAGGTAATCAGTTTTGCTTCTCACATCACTCTTGCCATAAATACATCTTTCTTGACAGTTATGATATGTAAATGTAAACCTGATTCCACATGAAGACCCAAGAAACCTCAATGTCAAATATAAGTGTCCAACCTGATTTTTCTGGCTCCTTATCTTCTTCTATGGTTTGCTTCATGGCTTCCCTTTGCTGCTGAAAGCTTTTCCCTAATAATCAGAAAAGGAAAAAGAGTAAAATAGTTAAGTCAAAAGGATAGAAAAATTTTTTTTTTACATCAAGGGACAACACCAGAAGTAACTCTTCATTTATATTCCCTTCTAAATCCTCCTGCCACCACATCAGAGTATGTCAACTATGATTATAAGCTCCAAACAGTTAAAGTATTAAGTCTCAACCTTGCTCTCAATCAATCCTAGAACATGTATTACTGGACTATATATCATCTATTAAAAAAGATAAATAACAAACCAGTGCTAGAAAATTTAATAGTTCAATTTTTACAAAGTTTTCATTTAGCACCTACTATGTGGAAAGCACTGTGCTGGATGTTACAATGGTTCTGATCATTTGAATTACTGCAAATCAAGCAAATTAATTCTAGGAGTTAACTTTCCAAAATAATATGTAAACAGTCACCAGTTTTTGATTCCAAGACACCATTCAACATATTCCCTTGCATTTATCATTTTCAATCCCTCTTTTTCTTTGTATGTATGTATATCCTTTAAAGATTTTTCATTTCTACCTTAAGCTACCCATGATACAAATAAATGAAAAACCTATTACATTTTTCCTCTCAGGATTAAGATTTTAATATAGGAGGCTTTCAAGGTTTCTGATTTTCATGTTCTTTTCAGACATCTACCTTAGAATCAAATGTACTTATTTTCTGAAGGATAAAAGTGGCTTTAGTTAGAAAATTCTGAATTAGAGTTCTACTTTTATATTTAATTTTTATATTTAATTCTTTCCATTTCAGGCCAGAGATTCTTAAAAATCAATAAGCAAATTCCATCTATGATGTTGGGCTAATCTGTTGAACTTAGTGCATTTTATAAGAGAACAAGCAAAAACAGTATTGAGTTTGATATACATAAAAAGCATTAAAAGAAATCAAGTTATCTCCAGAAGCTGTACAGATTGTGTTTCTAGATAAAACAAGTAGCTATGACTATAGGGAAATTTTTAAGAGCATTAAATTTTTTTTTAAAGTATTTGACTTCAACAGATTTAGGAAAAAAAGAACAAAATAATTTAAATAATTTACATATTAAAATGCTTAAAAACATTACAGTAATGTACTGCTATGGCACATTTTTATAGTACACACATATGTAGACTGCTTTTGAAACAGAAGCAGACATCAGTGGGAGATGGACATTATAACCTCTTAGAAATCCTTCTGACAGAAAACGGTCAAACTCTAACGTGGGTCCATTTATTTGTCCTATAAAAAGACTTAGAAATGGTATCATTAAAACTTCCTTGATTTATCTATATATTTTCAGAAACTCAATGTAATCAATCAGTCAATAGATATTGGTTCTAAGTATTTATGGGCTAAAGCTGACATGGTGAAAGATATCAAATTGATATCTGGCACAAGCACTACAAACCATAATGGCTGCCCAGTATCCCAGGATTCTAGAGGAATGTTCCTGTAACTGTTACTGTGAAGAATCAAGTGTATAGTATCATCCTCTGAACTTAATATAAGAAACCAATTCCTCCTTCCTTGATATATGAGTCAGTATACACAGAATCTCCAGCTTTGGGGTTTTAAAGCAGATGATTTGTGGCTGTGACTTTATTATACACATAATATATTACTTGTAGTCACATGCATCGTAAGCCAAATTCTATAGCCAGATCTGTTATGCTTAAAATCTTAAGGTTTAATAGGAGGTATAATCCCTAAAAAATGTTATAGGCAAAAGTCAAGGCTTGGAAGAGTTTTTTTTTTTTAAAAAAAACAGTCTTAGAAGGTCTAATTCAGAAGCACCAGTTCTGGCAGAACTATTTTTAAAAACCACCTATTTATTAATTTAGCAGATACTGCCTAAATTTAAAAGAATAAGTAAGATGTAGTCACTGGCCTAGAAGTTTACAAACTGAGAATATACAGTACAAAGTACTGTAATAGACAATTCCATGTATTATAAAGTAGGGCACACAAAAAAGAAAAAAAAACACATTGTTTTACATTAATGTATAATTAAAGTATTAACGGATATGCTTTAAAGTCAAATATGGAAGAGAAGCTTATCTCAGTGCCTTATACAGTGCTGATATAACAGTATTGAGTGAATAAGCTGATGAATTATCACTTTATTCCCATTTCATCATTCTGTAACTATTCCTTTGCCTTCACTAATATCTTATTATACTTTCCTTGGTTCTGTTTCCCTCATTCCACCATACCCACATCCTGGGAACTGCAGGAACAATTTGTAGAAAAAATTGTATCTATACACTTCATTCCATTAAGCATCATCTTCATTTTTCAGAAGAAATATGCTACCTTAATAATCTTAATGTCCAATGTGAGCTAAAGTTTTATTTTAGTATAGTCTAAATTAGAGAGTCTTCTTCAATGAAAAGTTGGGGGCATCCTATTTCCACCCTAAGATATCTTAGGAGAGATAAATTCAGTAGTCTTACTCTCCTGATTCCTTATAAAGTGATGCATCTTCACAAATTCCTATTTAGATATCAAGTTTGATGCTCCAGTTGATGATAATCTCCTGTTATAGTATAAGTTTTGTTGCCTTGATGCTTTTGTTGTTCAATACAAGTTTTGTTGCCTTGAAAACAGGGTAGTCTCAATGTACCTACAGTGAATGTAGTACAACATGGGATTGGCTGACAAGATTATATCGTAATTCCATTCTAAAGCCTAACAAATTGGTTAATTTATATTCAAGATACTTATGTTACAGATACAACATAAAAATCAATGACGTGAAAAAGTATTTACATCATTTTTTAAAAGGCATGAAAAAGTGAGTTTTTCTCTTTGAAGATTTGTATTTTACATGTTTTTTTAAACTTTGTACTTTCTACTATACTGTCTCTTACCTGGAACAAGCCCAGCTAGAGGCTGATTATCTTCATCTCCTTCCCTGTAGGCCTGCCACCAATTTGGATCTTCTTGACTGATTACATGAAGTATATCCCCTTTTTGAAAAGACAGACCTAACTCTCGACATGGAACATAAGGGTCATCTGAGGGGTCATAGTCAAAATGAGCCTTTACATGGATCTAAAAGATAAAAAGGGTAAAAGTAAGAACAACAATAATGAAATGGCAACACAAAATCTTCAGCATAAATATAATTAAAATGTTACATTTTTCATTAGTGCAAAGATATTATGAATTGAAAGAAGGGAGGTTAGTTTAGTAACTGTATTTTGGGAGCAGAATTTTCCCAGACTCATCTGTTTTCTTCAGTTAAGACAGTCCTGTTGATTGCAAACATGTACAAGAGTATGCAAAACACTGCACTGTTAGCTGCTAACAAGCTGAGGTGCTAAGGGGCCTCAAAGGTTTGACAGAAGCAGAAGGAAGGTAATAGAGACTCCCTCCCCTTCCATTCCTGACCTGTGAAAACAATGACTCTGCAGTAAGGTATGTAATTTCTAAACCACTACTACCAGGAAAGGTAGACTGTAAACCTCACCACATCTGTCATCTAAGCAGGTGAGTGTCAGTTTCCCTGGTGCCATCATCCAGGGAAACTGTTCTTGACCACACTGTCAGTGCAATTGTGCCTTAATCTCTTTCAGAGTTTCTTCTAAAGGGATATGTTTAGGGTTCATAAATAATGACACCCTAAACTGCTAAAATTATCTAAATCAAGTGTATAATCATTCCTATCGTGTTCTATACATAGGCTTTATTACTAGTGGTATAAGTTAAGATTTTTGTTAACTGTGTTTTTGCATATCTAAAACCTGTTAATGCTCTTAGCACTAAAGGTAAGAATTCACATGAACCTTATTGAAAGCTAAGTTATTTCCGATGCTATTTTCTTCAATATATTCTATAAGATAAACAAAGTATTCTTACTTCTTAGGAGGTATAAAGGAATTAATATTCTCTTTAACTCCCCTATCTGTACTTTTTATCCAAGCTGGTCAAATGGCATGTGGCATTTTCCAAAATCTGTAAGAAGCCCATTTTCATCTAACAAAATCCTACACCTATTTTCAATGAGTTTTTCTGCCCCACATAGGTTATATTTCAGGTTTGGGCTCAGTGAGCCAGGCACTTGATTGACAGCCTAAGAATTTTATAATTCTGAGTCCTTTTCTATCCAATTGTTGTTTGACTTTCCTTAAGCCTTTTACCCTAACCATGATTGAGGCCACCAATCATAAAGATAATACTGGTCTGCTTCAAAAACTATTTTATGAGAAAACACTATCTTTTTTCAGCTCCTGAAACACTTAAAAAATTGACTATTCTCAATCAATAATGAGACTATATGAAATTTGATAAAATACTTTTAAAGTGTTATATATATAATACATATCCCTCCATTATAATAACCAAGAATCCTCATGAAAGCAACAGCCTCTTTCAGAAATTTTGTTTGAAGGTATCTTTAGATAAAGAATACTGTATTTTTTAATTTCAGAAAAATATTTTACTGCTATAAATAGGAAATGAGGAAATCTAAGTCTCAATATACAAACAACACTGAAGTAAAGCAAGTGATTCAGTTAAAAATATAGAACTTAAATGCTAGTCTGCTTTTGGGGGGGTAGCTTTTCATTGATGTACTACATAAGTTCAAATAGTACACAAAATCCTAAATGTATAGCTCAATTAATTTTCATAAACAAACCAAACCTGTGTAACCAGCACCCAAATCAAGAACCAGAATATCATCAGCACCTCAGAAGCCCCGCCTCACGTTCCTTTCAGTCACTAGCCATGCTATGTCCTCCAAGGATAAACATCATCCTCATTTCTAGCATAGATTAGTTTTGTCCTCCAACGGTAAACATCACCTTGATTTCTAGCATAGATTAATTTCCCTGTATTTTACTTCATATAAATGGAATCACATAGTACACACTCTTGGATTAAATATGTTTAAGATAACTCACTCAATTTAACAGTGTTCTGCTGCATTACAACTGGAGTGTGCCCTAAACAGCCTTATTCTTGATATGAAAAACAGACTTTTTAATAAAATTTTGAAAACTTTGTCAGTTAAAACCAAAAATGAATTTTAGAGAGTTATACAGGGTGGTAGTGAGTCAAAACAGTTGAGAGACTGGGTAAAAAGACTATAACATACAATTCTGTAACCCTGGCATGAGGTCTCTAATCTACAGGATGATTAAAAAAAAAAAATCTCTGCTTGAGTACCATTCCTGTTAATCAATAATGCTTCTACATCCGTTTAAATTGTTGCTTTTTAGTCAAACAATCTTGGCAATCTGAACATGAAATTATAGGCATCATTTATGGTGGTGGAGAGATCATTTTATTATCAGGCTTTTCAAAGATCCATGAAATCAGACTACTTGTCAGCCTGATTGATGATTTTATCAAATCACTTTCTGAAATCAATACCCAGAATGTTGTTTTCAAACTGTTTTGCTCAGAACACCTGCTAGGATGTTTATTAAAATACTGACTTCTTATGCCACGTCTCAAACTTTCAGACTCTGTATTTTAATTATGTTCCTTGGGAAATTGTTACATACATGCTGTTTAAGATGTACCCTAAAATCTCAGGGAACTACCACCCTGAGGGAAACTAAATAGACCAGTGAGGACGCTGTATCTAAGTCTATGACCTTTGCCAGAGGCCAAATAAAATCACCCAGAGATGCTTTTCTCCTTACTCTGCTTAGGTCTTACCTCTTGACTATTCAGATTTAGTTGGTTTGGAATGAGGCCCCTCTTTGTGCAGGCTGGGAAGAGGAGTAAAATTGAGAGCAAAGTTTATTTCATATCAGGGAAATTAACCATATGACTGAGTAAAAGTCTGCATATTGACTTGACATGTACTATGTGACTTCTATCTATATATAGGCATACCTTGTTTTATTGTGTTTCACTTTACTGCATTTTGCAGATACAGTGTGACTCACTTTATTGCAGTGGTCTGGAACCGAACCTGCAATATCTCTGAAGTATGCCTGTATTCCACTGCAATTCTTATCAGCTCTAGAAGTTATCTCTAGCAATCTTTCCTCTTCAGCTCTGTTAGCGGCTAATTTATTTCCTTTCCCATACAAAAGAAAACAGAGTCCTTTTTAAATGAAGGAGAGATGCCGACCCCTATAGGAAAGCTCCAGGATTTAACAATGCTGTAGTATCACTACAATGTATCTGACCAAAACAATGTCTGATTTCTAATCCAAACAAAATCATCTGTTTAAATTTTAAATTACAGGGCTGTTTAGACACAATTATCTTCCAGTCCAACATTTTTTTCTCCTTGCCCCCCTTTTTTAAGCACATTTGAAATCCTAATGATGGGAACACAGTAAAGGAATAATAATTCATTAATTTATTTACATCTTTCCTAAGGGATTCAATGCTCAAAAATAATTTTTCCTTGTAATTTTTATTTCTGTATTTCTTATTATACTAGATTTATCTCTAACTTTTAAAATTACTTATAGAAGAGAAAACAGTGAAAGTGTGTCTTCTTTTGTCTTTGGCCTAAACGTTACCATAAGGCAGATTATAAAACTAAGGTCAGCACCAAGAAAAGCCTTTGAGTGTCAAGCAACGGTTTTCAAATTCCTTCTCCTCATCCTGAGATTCCTCCTCTCCGATGACCATTCAAGAAGGAATATCTTTATTATTTGTTCACTTCCATTTTTAACAGGAGAAATTTGGGATATCTGTGGGGCATCCAGTTAATGGTTAGTAGTAGTAGGCAGACAAAAATATGAACCTTAGGGTAACAGCAAACTTAATAGAGCAACTGCCCTAACCTGAAAGGGGATGTCCATCTAATATACTGTACACTGAAATTTTCAATATTTTTTCATCTTCTGATAAAATAGTTATTAAAATTTTATTGCATTATAAAATTCCAGATCTTCTTCTAAATCAGAAAAAATTAAGATGAAAATCATATTATACATTTTATACCTCTAAGAGAAAAGTAAGTATACTGGACGGTAGTGGTTCTCAACCTTTCCTTTCAACCCAGTTATCTTCACAGGCTACGAACAATCCTTAACCTATCATTTTTTAAAATCTGTAGAATTTTTTGCAAACACATAAAGTACATATAAACAGACTGTCCCCCTGACCTGATTTCCCCACAATAAATACAACTATGGCCCAGATCTCTCCTTAGAATTCCAAAATGATATATTCTATTCTATGCATTCGATATCTCTACCTGAATGCCTCTCAGGTATCTCAAATCTATAAAATAAACCTCTGGATTTTTCTCCCCAAACCAGTTTTTCCTCCACATTTCCTGTAAGTAAGCACCACCACTATCCACCCAGTTGTTCGAGCATCCTTGCTTCTTCCCTATCCTTTACTCTCCACATTCATTACAAGGTCCTGTCATTTCTACTTCAGAACATAGCCTGATTCATATTCTCCACTGCCACTGCTATCATCAAAATTTAAAAGTCAACATCATACTTTTATAATGGCTTCAGCAACAGTTTCCTAAATCTCCTTGCTTCCATTATTGGCTCTACGAATCCAATTTCCACCCAGCAGCCAGATGTGTTTTGTTTTTAAATACAAATCACACCACGTTACTGTATTTGAAGTGCAAACTCCCTGCCATGGCCGAGAAGACTGACTTGACCTGGCCCTATCTACCTCTCAAGCCTCATCTCTTAGAAGTCCCTCCTCACCTTTCTACTCCCCTACTTTGCTCCATTCCTACAGGCTTTCCAAACACAAAGTTCTTTAGAAATTATACCTGGAAGCCCTTCTGGTAATTAACAGGCCTGGCTTCATCTCATTCTACAGGTCTCAGCTTCATGTTGTCTCCTCCAGGAGGCCTTTCCTGCCAACCTTATATAATCAATCCCACCTCCTTTTATTCTCAGTGTTCATATTTTATTGATCTCCATCTTATCACTTACTGCAAACTATAATTAATGTCATGTTCATTATTATAAAGCTAGCACTTATTAGCACAGTGCCCTAGTACACAAAAGGGATCAAGTAGATATTCACTGTGAGGAAAAAAATTATTTGGGGCCCATAATATTTCAATTATTAATACCACTGGCCTAGTGGCTAATTCTATGGTTTGTATCCCTGAACTGTGATTTTAGTATCCTCCTAAGTCTTTAAATTCCCCTAAAACTACATCTTTCTCCCATACTCTCAGCCCAGACCCCCAAAATCAAGAGACTTCAGTCATGCTCCCAGCATTATTAGAGTTATCAAGTCTCCTACAGACAGAAGAGATCCTACCTCAATTTCAAATACTAAAGTCTCATAATATGCTTTTATCATACTCATAATCCAGACCCACTATCATATCATATAGCTACTAACAGGTTAATTCATCCATAGTTACAATTTTCTATCATGGTATTGTAATTATTTTCTTTGGACTGATAATAAACAGTAATACAGAAACCTTTTAACATTTAGTAGCTTTGTGGGACAGTACCTGTTATATTACACAGCAGTTAAGAGCAAAAGTTCTGGAATAGGCATGGGTTCTAGTCCTGGCTCAGTCACTCACCAATAGTGGGCTTGGGCAATTAACTTGACCTTTCTAATTCTAGTTGCAATGCTTGTTAAATGGGAGTAATAAATATAGCTATACTTAAAAGGGATACTATAAGGACTAAATGAGATAACACATGTAAAACAATTAGTATTGTGCCTGGCACAAAGTAAGTAATCATAATAATAGCTAACACTTATTGGACAATCAATAATCTCTGAATTTTCTAGTGCATATTCCATCACTAATAACTAGTGTGATCCCCTACATTTCAATTTACTCCTGTTTATATTTGGGCATTAGACTAGACGAGAAAAGTGCCTTCGGCTCAAATATTCTATTTCCTCCCTTCAATATTATTTCAGTTATATTGTGAAATAATCTAAAGTTGTACACACTTCTCTGGGAACTCCAACTTTTCTTTTAGTCAATGAGGGGAGAAGGTAACTGCAGTTTAAACAATGTATATGTTTCCTCAGACAAATGTGCCAGTAACCTAGGAAGCTAAACTACAAAGGTGTCAAGACTTTTGTCCACTGCAACCAATGGAGCAGCCCCTGGCTGCTTCTGTGTGATACAAAAGAAACTTACCAAATAAGGGAGCACTTCTCCTGACACAGCTTAGTCTTGCCAATTGTAATGTTATAATTCAGCAAGTGATTATGATGGAGTTTCAGGTAACACCTATTTTGTTATCTTAAACGCATATTTCTTTCTAACGTCACAAAACATACATCAGAATGATACCCTTTTGTTGCTCTTACTAGATCCCGACCTGTACCATAATTATGCTTAATAAGTTGGTTCTAATTAAACTCTAATATGAAAAAAGATACATGCACCCCAGTGTTCATAGCAGCACTACTTACAATAGCCAAGACATGGAAGCAACCTAAATGTCCATCAACAGATGACCGGATAAAGAAGATGTGGAACATATATACAATGGAATATTACCCAGCCATAAAAAAGAATGAAATAATGCCATTTGCAGCAACATGGATGGACCTAGAGATTATCATACTAAGTGAAGTCAGAAAGAGAAAGACAAGTGCCATATGGTGTCACTTATATGTGAAATCTAAAATATGATACAAATGAACTTATTTACAAAACAGAAACAGACCCACAGAAGTAAAAAACAAACTTACAGCTACCAAAACAGAAAGGGGGTGGGGGAGGGATAAATTAGGAGTTTGGGATTAGTAGATACAAACTACTATATATAAAATAGTTAAACAACAAGGTCCTACTGAATAGCACAGGGAACGATAATCAATATCCTGTAATAAACCATAATGAAAAACAATATGAAAAAGAACAGATATCTGAATCACTTTGCTGTACACCAGAAACTAACATAACATTGTAAATCAACTATATTTCAATTTTTAAAATGGGTATTTCTTAAAATCACTAATCCCATATAAAATTATTCTGCATATGCCAAATAAAATTATGATATACTATCACTGTTTTCCTTGTGGAAATCTTCCATGCGAGCATTAATAATAGTAGTTCATTTCAAACATGTTTAAGTTTGATAAAAACTTTACAAGAGATACTGCAATTGAGAGTTCTTCTCAATGAAAGGAGGAAATGAAGGGAAAAAAAATATTGCACACCATTTCTATTTTGAAAACACCTCTACCCATCAAATGCTGTATTCTAAAAGGGATAAGCCTAGCATCTTTTCTTTTCCTTTCTCCCCCTTTCTTGTTAAAGTCATATAAGTAAGCAAATATTCCAACCTTCTTCTGTTGTGTCTCCTCACACTGCATACTACTTTTGAAGTTCAGGGCTTGTTCATGGGAGAGATATGTGGGAAAGGATAGTGCACTGAGAATAAGGCTGTTGAAACTCAAAGACAAACTATTTCCTCATTTCTCTTCCTACAAAGAACTTTAAACAGAAGGAAGGTTGCAAATCCAACAATGACTTCAGTATGTTCCAATAAAGGGAAAAGATGGAATGATAGCCAAAATATAAAGCATAACTGTGATGAAATATTAAGAAAAAAATGAAACTGTGTTCCCTTTCAAATTGTTATGCTTGTACAAAAATTAAGAATAGTAACAGATGCAATACATCAGGCTACCATGTTAATCCAGCAACTTAACTCTACGACTTTTTAACAGCTTTATTGAGATATAATTCATATGCTATACAAGTCACCCATGTGTATACTTGGGTGGTTTTTAGTAAATTTAGAACATTTTTATCAAAGCCCTACTGATTGGGAATCACTCTTATTCCCTCCTAAATCCCCACCCTTTCACCTAAGTAACTACTAATTTACTTTCTGTCTCTATGGACTTACCCATTCTGGACATTTTATATAAATGAACCCAATACACAGCCTTTTGTGAATGGCTTCTTTCACTTAGCATAACTTTTTCAAGGTTCATCCACGTTGTAGCATATATCAGTACTTTATTCCTTTTAACTGCCAAATAATATCCCATTCTTATGGATATATCATATTTTGTTTTCCATTCATCAGCTGGTAAACATCCAAGTTGTTTCTACCTTCTGGCTACTATGAAAAATGCTGTTTTGAACATTCATGTACAAGTTTTTGAAAAGAGGTATGTCTTCAGTTCTCTTAGGATCTATACCTAGGAGTGGAATTGCTGGATCATGTGGTAATGAAGTCTGTTTTTTACTATAGTTAGAGTATTTAACATAAAGAGCAATATACATTCTAAATTAAGAGTTGTGCATACTTTGTAAAAAGCACTTTTTCCCACTACACTAAGCATATTTAAGTTAAATAAACCCACCTATACTGACAGAAAAAGACAAAGCTGAACATTATAAGTCATAAAAATTCTGAAAAGGAAGTATTTTTTTACTTTTCAGAGTTCACTAACTTTGAAATATTAATGTCATATTTATTTAAATAAAATCTACTGAATTTACCTGTTTTTACTTGAGTGCAAGAAATATTTAGAGTGACATTTCTGATGCTCAAATGATAAACATCACTGTGCATGCTTTTGTTTGAGGTTTTCAATTCCTTGGTATTAATGAGCTGAAAACTTATATCCACACAAAAACCTCCACAGGGGTGTCTGTTCATAGCTACCAAAACTTGGAGGCAACCAAAATGTCCTTCAGTAGGTGTGTGGGTAAACTGTTGTATATCCAGACAATGGAATATTATTCAGTGCTAAGAAGAAAGGAGCTATCAAGCTATGAAAAGACATGGAGGACTTAAATGCTTACCACTAGAGAAAAAAGCCAATTTGAAAAGACTACATATTGTAATATTCCAACTATATGACATTCTGGAAAAGGTAAACCATCGCAGTCAAGACAGTGTGGTTGCCATGGGTTGGGGGGAAGAAGTGATGAATACGCAGAGCATAGAGGATTTTTAGGGCAGTGAAACTATTCTGTACGTTATGATGGTAGATATATGTAATTATACATTTGTCAAAACTCATAGGATGTACAACACCGAAACTGAATCCTAAAGTAAACCATGAACTTTGAGCAATAATGAAACCATCAGTTCATCAATGTAATAGATACACCACTCTGGTGTAGAATGTTGATAGCAGGGGAGGTTGTGCATGTGTGAGAGTGGGAATTATGTGTGAACTCTACTTTTTGCTCAATTTTGTTGTGAACCTAAAAGTACTCTTTTTTTTTAAATTTTTTTTCCGGCTGCATTGGGTCTTTGTTGCTGCATGAAGCCTTTCTCTAGTTGTGGCGAGTGAGGGCTACTCTTCGTCGTAGTGCGCGGGTTTCTCATTGCAGTGGCTTCTCTTCTTGCAGAGCACGGGCTCTAGGCATGTGGGCTTCAGTAGTTGCAGCACACGGGCTCAGCAGCTGCAGCAGGCAGGCCCTAGAGTGTGTAAGCTTCAGTAGTTGTGGTGCGCAGGCTCAGTAGTTGTGGCTCGTGGGCTCTAGAGTTCAGGCTCAGTAGTTGTGGCGCATGGGCTTAGTTGCTCCGTGGCATGTGGGATCTTCCCAGACCAGGGATTGAACCCGTGTCCCCTGCATTGGCAGGCAGATTCTTAACCACTGTGCCACCAGGGAAGTCCCCTAAAAATACTCTTAAAAAATAAAGTTTGTTAATTAAGAAAAAAGTAAACAGTAGCCATCAGAAAATAAATAATGAACATTAAAAAAATCACTTACTACTGTTTCCTTAGCAGGAGGAGGCTTGATCTGTTGACTGGGAATCAGAACAAATGTCAAAGTACCATGCATATCAGACTGTAACAGAAAAAGTACATTATTTTAAAAAGCTGTATTTATGAAAATCATTCCATGATCTTATGATCAATAGTCCCTAAACTGGACTATTCTGGAACTCCAAGGAGACTTAAAAAAAAAATTGGAAAAGATGAATCCTATTTTATCAGGAAGCACAAATCATGCCTTTCGTGGACTCCATTACAGAGCTACCCAGGAATATGACATTCTGCAATTTTGGTCCTCTCGTCCACTGGGAAAAGCCACTTAGCCCGTAAGTCTTGGGTTTTTGTCTTCCATTAAGTTTAAGTTTGGAAGATTCCACAGTGAAGGAATGGAAGACACTGCAGCACTTCAGGGTCATCTACTCTGACATACATCGATTTTAATACAGTAGAATTTGAAATAGTAATTTTACTAGGATTAGAAAAGCGATGCAAGTACACAAATATTCTTACTTCCCAGATGCTCTGTCTCTGTCATTCATTCTATTTTATAACTGTATAGAGTCTTACTGCTAGTTTCTCTATTATTTTCCAGTACAGTCGGCCCTCCGTATTCATGGGTTCCACATCAGTGAATTCAACCAACCGCAGATGGAAAAAAATTCCAGGAAGTTCCAAAATGCAAAACTTGATTTTGCCACCTGTAAACAGCTATTTACTTAGCATTTACATTGTATTAGGTATTATAAATAATCTAGAGATTATTTAAAGTATACTGGAGGATGTACGTAGCTTATATGCAAAAACTATGCCATTTTATGTAAGGGACTTGTGCATCCATGGATTTTGGTATTCATGGGGGCCCTGGAACCAATCCCCCATGGATACCAAGGGACAACTGTACACCACTGCCCACCTTGCTCAGCTACCTCCAGCCTAGACAGTAATCACACTTCTGGTCCTGAGATAGCAGGGAGCAGTAATCAATCTAGAGACAGCAGCCAGTAAAACAAGGGCTAAGAACAATGACCACCGGCACTTTGTGCTATCAAAGCAATGAATGGGACTGGGTGACAATAAGGATGTGAGGATGTTTTCTAGATTCTTCAGTAGACATCAGCAGATAGGAGAGATTCTAATGTAACAACTGATATTAAGTAGGTAAGAATATAAATCTGATTGATGGGTATATATGAAGTGATCATAAGTCGCCCTCAAAAGTTGGCTCTAGGGGCTTCCCTGGTGGCGCAGTGGTTGAGAGTCCGCCTGCCGATGCAGGGGACACGGGTTCGTGCCCCGGTCCGGGAAGATCCCACATGCCGCGGAGTGGCTGGGCTCGTGAGCCATGGCCGCTGAGCCTGTGCGTCCGGAGCCTGCGCTCCGCAACGGGAGAGGCCACAACAGTGAGAGGCCCACGTACCACAAAAGAAAAAAAGAAAAGTTGGCTCTAAATGGCCTCCTGATTATACCAGCACTGTCTAACAGAACTTTCTATGATGACGGAATTCTGATCAGTGGACTGGAATTGCAGAATGCCATATTCCTATATCTACACCTTCATACGATAGCCATTAGTAACATATGCTTCTTGAGCATCCGAAATGCAGCTAGTAAGAATGAGGAACTGAATTTTAAATGTTACTTAATTTAAATAGAAATAACTAGCACATGTAGCTAACGGTTATTATATTGAACAATGTAGATCTATACCACTGCTATTATCTAATATTGCTAAGGAAACAACGATCAATTGTAGGTAATAAAAAACCAAAATGAGGGCTTCCCTGGTGGCGCAGTGGTTGGGAGTCCGCCTGCCGATGCAGGGGACATGGGTTCGTGCCCCGGCCTGGGAAGATCCCACATGCCGCGGAGCGGCTGGGCCCGTGAGCCATGGCCGCTGAGCCTGCGCATCCGAAGCCTGTGCTCCGCAACGGGAGAGGCCACAACAGTGAGAGG